GCGTTTCTTTACTAAACAGATCAATCCAAGATCACTCGGATCATGGGGCATCAAAGGAACCGAAGAATCCACCCTGGGCAAGGATTCTTGGGTTTTCTTAAGGAGATGTCAATGTCAGTTAAATACACTTTTGTAATTGCAAATATCATGGGCACCCAAAAACCAGACATTGTGGCCAGACATAACGTGATTTATGTTAAGGCATGTTGCTCACATGATAACCTGTTGAGTCAGGTTGTACCAGGTACGGCGAATCTAACCAATGAGGTTTTAGTTTGATCAGCAGTTCTATTCTTCCTTCTCTCCCTCGCCATCAATTTGGACAGGTCACAAGAAAAATCTTACCCGCCTCCGTCCCCTTCACCTTCCAAAGGGTTATTATTGCTGTTTAATTTTATTTTATTTTGTTCTTGATGTAATATTTTTAGTAATGTTAAGTAATGTGGCGGATTTTTGTCGCCCCATTTTTAATCAGTAACGTAATAATTTTTACATATTTTGCTGTGTTGTGATTCTGTTACAGTCGTGGCCAGATAAATCCAACACAGGTGTTTGTTTAATCTCGCATTATCGTCAAGTAATCGAGAATTGATGCGGAGCTCGAATTAAGACACTGTTAAGAGTTGGCCTTATTTTGGTAAGGCACATGCCTTGATATAAACGCGATGTTTTCCCGTTGCATTTCCAATTGAGCGTCATCAAACCGAATCACTTTAGTAAGCCACCAAGAACACAGGCAATCAATGCAAAGCCGACGCGAACGCCGGTAAGCGTGAGCGAGCGAGACACGATAGTTTTGATTTTACTTCTAATTGGATAAAGAAAGTGGCGCGAGCTTTGTAAGCCAGTCGCGTAGTGGTGCAAAATCAATTACTTTGGACACGCAAAACACAGATAAATTGTTTTTTTTATTATTATTTAACATTTTAACATTCTGTCGATAACGACGTCAAAGCTAAGCGTCATTTTTACCTCATAACAGCAAGTATCTAAAATGTTGAGCTGATATGTCCTTCAAAATAGGACTTTAGCCTCTCCAACTCTGACTTCTTCGCGTCTTATTATAATTCGCTTTACGCTCATAAGACATACATCGTAAGGGGCGCGGGAGGGGGGGGGCACTGAGAGAAGACAGGCCACGGGCAATACACTATCTAATCAGTATTTCTGCATAATTTGTGATTTGTACTGAAGCCCATCAGGGTCATCCATTAATTACAACAAAAAAATCGTTTTCTCCAGATTTAGCAAAAGTTACATAAATACCCTTGAAACTCGAAGACGGCTGAATTATTTATTCAGAATGGCTAGAACTGGACTTATCCAAAAACCTTTTTGATGAAAGTGTATCGCAAAAATGTTACGAAACTTTTATTACAGATCACGGGGGTTTTACCTGTATATCACTATCCGCTTTATAATATATAGCTGAAAAAAATGTAGTATTTTACAATGTAAAACTGGATATGTTCGTGACCAAAGTTACACATGGGTGACACATGTCGTTGATTATCAAAAGTGGAAATTTTTATTTTTGGCGTAATTTTGGTATGCCTACAATTTCAAAGTATTAAATGCTAACTCAACGAAGATGAAGTCACTTCAATTTACTTGTTCCTAATTCTGCACGATCTTGGCGATTAAGTTTCTTCCATTACAGTCGCCCACCTCTAGCATTTTATGTGCAAACTTAAAACTAATAAGTTGATGTTAATTTGTATTTTTTCATTTATTTTCATCCAACTGCTCACTTCACTGAGGTGTTGAACAGTTCATGAAAATGTTCAAATCATGAAATATTAACTTAGCTGCATCAAGATCAAACGCAGCTTGTGTCGTTCTGCATAGCAATAACGTGAAGTCATTGTTTGCCGGACCAATTAGCGTCGGAGGTAAATTACGAGGCGATATTTCCCTGTAATGAGGTTTGTTGTGTCACAGCTGTGAAAGCAACAATTTGTCTCCATGGAGACATGATCGACATGGCTTGCCCAGCTGGGAATAAAATGAACGTCTTCATCATTTGAAACTTATTAGCGTCCTAATCAAGATCATATCGCAGTCGATTTTGTTTAGATGGTTCCACAGCGCAAGGCTTGTTTGAAAGGAAAATGTTGTTCGTTTTTCTCCTATCGCTATTTCTATTTTACGACTGTTCTCAAGGCAAAGGTGAGAAGCAAATGACGTTTTTTCCAGTTTTCAATCAGTGGTAACCAGTCAATTATTTTATGCTTTGAACATTATTTAATTAAAAGAAAGAAAAATCGGTCATGTAGAAGATTTTCCTAGAACCACAATTTTACTTCATTTTTACAACCCAAATTGAATTGACCTAAAATTCAATTGCGTTCGCGCTTTTTCATAAAGGAGAAGACCATAAATTAAAATTCATCTTCGGCTATGAATTCGAATGTCATCACTATTATAAATTTTGCTAGTTTATAGATTGCAAAACTCGTCTAGATATCTGTCCTGAGGCAATTAATAGACGCAAATAACGATCATATTGAAGTAATTTTCTGTGAAAATCTTTTCTTCTTTTTCGTGTCAGCCTATCAACATACATAAGCTTGGCGCTTAAAATATCGTTTACCAAGGAGTGTCTATCTGAGAATAGCATTATTTATTCCGCAATAAATTTTTAGGGTTTGCATGCTTGACGGTAGAATGGTCGAATCTGTGATTGTTGGCTCTTATTTCCTTTATTTCTGTTAATATTACTTAAAATTCAAAATAGTTTTCAGGTGAATTTTGTTTCAGGTCACACTCAATCGCTCTAGCCTTGAAGAGACTCTTTTTCGATCGCACAGCAAAGAAATCTACTGGCACGCAATCTTCTGAATTGCGAGACTTGAAACCTGTACCGCGAAACTACCACTACAAATCCAATACAAATCACGAAATTATCAAAGTTTAATACCGGAAACATCGCACAAGAATATGTCGGAGTTAAAGCCGCGGTACAGTTCAAATTCTTCAAACACCGATTATTGGAGCTGTAAAACCCGTCTTTCTTAGAATTCGCCCCGAGTGATAATCGATTATAGTTTAATATGTAATTCTTGAGCGATTTCAAGTATTTCAATCGCTTAAGATGGTCCGAACTTTATCTGAAATTTATAAAGGTCGGTAACTGCTTTTGGATGGAGTTATCAAGAATTCTGTTTTAAGATAAACACAAAATGCCAATCCAGCTACTCTCACGACCATTTGAGTGTGAGTGAAACACCTCCCGATAAAGCTCATTAATGCCCTTTAGGAGAAAAACCTTTTACTTGAATTTGATTTCATCTCTTTGAAGGAGAGTCCCTTTTGT